TAACCACAAACAGATTACAATTAATATTAACTACTTTCAGTTCAGCTCAATTAATATTAACTACTTTCAGTTGAGCTCAACACTAACATTTGGTGCAGACCCTAATAAAAATAGTACACACTCCAACACTTCCTTTTTGACAGCTGAGAAGTATGTAAAAGTGTTCTTCATTAAATTTAAATAGACTCATTAATAAAATATTGAGGATGTGCTACTTTAAGACATCAGAAAAAATGTATAAATTGGTGATAACGTTATTTCTATTTTTAAATACATCCCACAGAGGCACCCAAGATAGATGAGAAGTGCTAAGCCCATCCCACAAGCTTATTTATTTATTTAATACTTCTTACATGCTATTTTTAACCACAGAAGACAGCAAACGGCATCCATTAGAAAAATTACATTGCTTAGGTTTTCCTCACACAGGTTAGACAAGTGAGATACCTGGCTGAACACAGTGTTAAAACGAGATGGGTTTTTTTTCCTCACTTTCCTACAGGTTTCTGGAATAGAAAGCAATTTTATTTTTGTAGCATCAGCTAGGCCAGAATCCGTATCTGCAAACCTCAGTCGGTCTTTACTCACAGCCCAGCTCCCTCTTCCCACCCCTCCACTTCCTGCAAGGTTTACTTTTGTAAGTAACACACAGTTTGAACGAATACACAACATGCCTGCCACACAGGGACAGTTAAACTGTAGTTGTATGGGTTAGTTTGGTTTGTTTTTTTATGGCTCAGTTGCGCACATAGAAAAGAAATGAGAGGAAATGCCATAGTCTCGTAGCATTGCATCATCCTGCAGAAGACTTATTCCTTCAGGAGAGGAAAAAAAAAAGAAAAATTCAATTTTTTCGATAAAGAAATTTATCTTAGCTGAGGTTCGTAATGCAGTTTTCCTTAGCAATCAAGATTCTTTGCTGAGCTAAGAAATCAAAGGAAAAATGTCTCATCACAAATACAAGTTTTCACATACAAAAATGCCAGAGCTACACTGTCAAATTATTTACTTGGGGGAAAAAAAAAATCTTCACTTCTACATATCATCTTCCTAAATGGTTGCTTTCTTTGGGGAAATACAGAGTGTTTTCATGCACAGCGTGAGCAGCGAATTTTCCCTTTTCCTCTCAT